CATTAATCAAATTAGATAGGTCCCTAGTATAGTTCCCTATGATTCTGCTATTTACACTAAAATAAGAATCTGACTCGAATATAGGAGGCATCCTTTTGGATGGGTAGAGGGAATAAGTAGAATTTTGAATGTTTTACTTATGGACAAAGTAACAAAGATTAGATTTTGCAGTCATGAATTGAATGAAGAATAACTACAAGTGCCGGAGATAGACGATTTAAATAACAGAAGATCCAATATTTGCTGTGAACAGAATGACCGGAAAAGTGGAAAGAAGACCGGATAGACTTTGATCGTTATTATGAGAAAATAAAAAATCTTTGTAGACAGAACCAATCATTAGTTACCAACCATGGGGCGAATGGAATCATAGAAAAAGCTTTGATTGTGTCGCTTAAATTATATAGGAACCCAAGAGTGAAGAATAACAAGTTGTTCTGAATTACCAAGAATAGATAATAACCACTTAGAATAATGAAAGAGATTCCATTTGTCGAAAAGTGCAAAATTGTATGGATACGCTCCTCATTCATTGTGCATCTTGTTGGATGGATCCTTTCTTTGTAGATTCCGATACAAAGCTTTTGTAGATAGATGTCTTTCTGGGTATTCCTTTAACATTTCGTCCAAGGGAAAGAGTTCCTCTAATTCTCTCACTTTTGTTATAATACTCTTTTCTTTCATATCATTCAAGAACATTTCGGATTGACCAGTATTCCACCAACGAGTAACCCAAGATTCTAGGCTTTTATTAAATAGAGATACACCGCAAAAAGACTATAGATGCAAGATATAGAAGGGGAATGAATGCTTTCTTGTTTGCCATTCGTCTTTGATTTGTTAATGAACTCACTTCATTCGTTACCTCTCTACACTACTAATATTTATATCAAACATAAGTTCTATGTAAAGTTATATGGATACTATTATTCATCCATTCCCTGTTCATTAGTTAATCCTTGAATTTCGAAATAATACAGAAAGCAAATATCAAAGAATCCACTTTTCTTACTGTGGAGTTACATACGCATCATAATTTCGGACAAAGAAAGACTGTTTTCCGTTTGTTCCCTATACGACTTCTTTGGCTCAAATGAATGAGCATTCTTCAGAAATTCCCGTTAAGTTAGACTAGGTAAAAAAGACTATTCTTTCTTTTCCGTTTGATCCCTCTTGCTACGAACTAAGAAAGCAGTCATTCTGAACTTCCTCAAGGAAACTTCAATTGGTACATGAAAGAAATAGGCCAGCCAATTCGGCAGCCTTTTGCTCAATTTCGTCTTTCTCTCTCGTGTGGTGGTGGGTCAGATTCTGATCGGTACGAGTCAACCCTTGGCCTCTGATTTCCATATAAAGGACACGACTGTGCATAAATACCCTCTTTCACTTCTATTCTGATGGACTAAATGTCCTTCATAAGGAATCGGAGTCAGATTCTAGGATTTTATCCAGGAAACCCCCCAAAATAGACACTATTCCTTCTTTTCTATCGAATCGATCATAACCGCTACCTACATTCCACAAAATGGTGTACCACAAATAGGAAGGAGCTAATAAATTGACCTGCAATCCCATAGAAAGACATTACGATCCCTTGTGGAAAACTGGTAAGATAAGGAATCAATACAAGGGAAAGTATGGAACGGATTACCTTGTTGATCGAATATCTCAAGGCAAGAACATTGTTTGAGATTCGAATCACTCCACAAGCAAGATCGATCATGTCTAGCTTGAATGATTCTTGTTGATCAAATATCTCAACACAAGAACACTTGTTTGAGATTCGAATCATTCCACAAGCAAGATTGATCATGTCGAGCTTGAATGATTCTACATGCAACCTAAACTACATAGAATTGCAAAGAAACTTAGCCATTGGCTAAAGAAAGCACAAATGCTTCTTTCTATATTTTCCAAGTCTGCTTACAAATACAACATATAAGGCTTTATACAACCTCAAAAATGAAACTACTAAAGGTATTCCAAGAGTTGTAACATTCCTACTCTATGGCCATAATTAGCCATTATGTAAATGTAACCGAAATTAAATAAAAAGTCTTAAAATACAATAACTCTAAATTACTCTAAATTGTAACCCATCCAAAATTTACAACAATCAAACTTCATTCTTCTTCAATGTAGCATGAATTGAAAACATCTTTTGATAATTTTGACAACCTTTTCTTCACATCTTCTTTGAAGTATATTGTATGATTGATGTCTCTTGGTTCATATAAAAAACAAACAAACTAATTCTTTGCAGAGACACGAAAATCAAGATATCAAATCCCTACCAAGCAAGATAACTGGAAGTTCCAACCAACAAAACCCCTAATGAATGAACCTCAGAAAAGGATAGATAAAAGCCCAGTGGAAATTGCTTTTGAGATCCTCTTTTTTCTTATAAGTTCTATCCATATATGTTCTGATCGCTAACTCATACTAGATCTCGTTGCATTTTTTATTGGAATTGATAGAATAACGGATATTTGCCTTTTTTTTGTTTCCAAAGTAGTCACTCTAATCAACTAGCACTATTTTGATGTGAACCTTGACCGACGGAGTAACTCATCGAATTACTTAGATCTCAAATAATAGCATCACCTTTATATGATTCCCTATGGATACCTACATCCATATAGATATATTGATTTGACATCTCAACCATTCGTCGCCCGATCAGTTATATATTGGAGATTAGAGATAATACTTAATAATTCATTTCCTCAGATATCATTTTTAGGCATGTATAATCGCTTATGTTTGGAGTCAGCCACATCTTTGACTGCCGTCTACTAAATAGATAGCTGTGTTATCGTGTCAAAGTCTAAGTTTTGAAAAAAAACAAATAGACGTGTAGCATAAATAAGCTTCTTTTTTTGAACATGAAGAGATAAAGAAGTCATTCCAATTGCCGGAAATACTAGGCCTACTAAAGGCACAAAAGTAGAGAGAGGGTAAGTTTGTCATAGAATGGATACCTCGACTTAATATTTATACCTCTTATTTATTGTTATATTAATTTACCTGTTATTTATTTCTTGTTATAAAAGGTATCTGATAATTATACTAATTCATATAGAATTACACTAAGTAATATCTACTTGTTACCCAAAAGTTCGTTATAATCCGATCCAACAACAGGGATTCGTAGTCAAACTAGAGATACTCTAGAGATGTAGAAAGATGAAAGACTCTATGCCGCTATTTGCTATAGTTGGATTATATATCCACATGTAACGTAAGAAGGAAGGGAGCATGAAATTCATTTTATTCCCACCTACCTAATTTAGCAGAAGAAAGAATTAGCTCTTTTATTCAATAGGGGCTTCCTAATTACTAATCAGGAATATTGGTCAAACCCATTTCTACGCATGATTCTTTCTACAATTTCATCTTATGTTACCAAAGAAAAATACATTTTTCGAATTTGGACTTTGATTCCTATAAACTAAATAACTACTTGTTCCTTACAAATACTTACAAGGAATTAATTTTAGAAGAGTTTTAAGTAAGGTTTTACTTGATTGAATTTTGATTCGAGGGAACGAAAGCCTGGAGCTGAAATAACTCACTCAAATACCTTTTAAAGGATTACGTGGTTTAGATCGAATAAGCCCTTATCGAATGTCAGCCACCTGGGAACCCTCCGGACTGACTCTCGTATTCAATCTTTGTTCTTCAATCAATTACTCTTTTACCCGCAAATGTGATGTAGGCATTGGGTTCGGCAATAATGATATCCCCCAAGATACCAAAACTAGCTGTCACCCCACCCGTAGTAGGAGATGTAAGGATTGCTACATAGAAGAATCTTTTATTTGATTGATAATCATATAAAGCAGAAGATCTTTTTGCCATTTGCATCAAGCTCACACTTCCTTCCTTCTTGCATGCCTCCTCCTACAGAAGTACACACTCAAATCAGAGGTCAGGTAGCCAGCCGATCAAAGGGGTGATTCTCTCGCCTACTACAGATACCACCCCCATAAACGAAAATTTATAATCCCAATTGCTATGGGAATACCGGTTCATTTACCTGTGCCTCTTTGAATAGCCTCATCAGCTGTTAATCCTTTCTTTATTTGATAAGACTCAATACGATCTTTATAAGGTTCCTCCTCCGAATGAAATTCAATGGGATCCAAAGAAAGAGACCATGTCTTCATCCATAGGGTCCCAAGTACCTGACTCGATCAATCAAAAGTTCGATTCTATCTGTGAACTACTCATTTGAAAATGGTATCCACATTGTGAACAACTATTCATTTTTTTATTTCAAATCCTTCTTATAATTGAATCCATAACCAATTTGCGCATTGAACCCACGCCCATTTCAGTTCAATCTAGATCATTAGAACTTGAGGTATCACTTGAGATAGAACTTTCCGTAGAACTTGAGGTATCACTCTCCGTTCTAGTTATATCACTTCCATCCGTGCTAGTTCTTATACTGGAACTCTCACTTTCACTACTATTTGCACCTGAACCCCAAATGTCACTATAAACGTCACTCTCACTCTAATTGTGTGTGACTACCACTGAAAAAGTCAGTATCAATACGGATTTGAGCCCTAAAATAACCGTCAATGCATTAATGTGATTATTCCAACTATATTTAGTATCATCTATGTAACGATCATAGTCTCTCTCATCACTCTTAGATGGATTCTTTTTATAAGTAGAGTTCGGTTCGAAAAACTATAGCTTTCTAGTTCACTTACAAAAGAAGGATTATTGTCAATCTCAAGCAGTATTAGATTTGCACTATCCAAATATATGGAATAACTGCAGTAGCTATTACTATCCCTAACTAAAAAGGTGTCATCAGATACGACCGAATGCCGGCCGACTAAATCATAACGGTACTGTAACTCGAATTGTCACTATGACTAGTAATCTTTTGATTCATATTATTATTGATCCTTCACTTTCAATAGGACCAAGACTATTGATTGATTTACTTAGCTTATACCTGTATTCTAACTCCCCGTTAGCCAACCTCGAATTTCACCATCTTTTTTCCATAGAGCTTTCTTGCCCCTATTTCCATCAAAATACAATGAATAGTCATTCGATCAAAAATCAATCATTTGATGAATATCTCATTTCCTATCAGAAATAGGATCTAAATCCAATCACTCGGATTATTACTAACGAGTCGGTCTTAAAAAAGAAGGGTTGGTTGTTCCCCCTATTCATATGAAGAACTTTTTTCGTAAAATCTCCTTTACTACCAAATGGGTATTCCAAGAAATAACAAAAAGAAAGGACAATATACAGGATGGGTAGAAGAAGTTGTGATACTTGGCTCGATCCATGATCTGAAACGACGGGGGATATAAGATATTAAACGACTACACCAATTCTAAGGATCCATAGGCTTACTTAATTGCGGATGATCCGGCACAACAACAAAAATGTTTACGTTCTCTTAGATTTTGATTTCTTGCATTTTGTATATCTAGTAAAAAGCTATCCAATAGTATCTTTGTATTGTATTCGGCTCATTCCTTTTAGTAAAAGATTGGGTGGGGGCCGAGTTTTCTTTAATTGAAAGTCAATGAAAAGAACGAAGAGTCATTCATTCCTGCGTTACAAAGTCTCTACTCAAATTAGAATTTGATCGCCTTCCATACTTCACAAGCAGCAGCTAGTTCATGACTCCAGTTACTAGCCTCACCGATAATTCACCCTCATGAGCAAGATCACGTCCCTCATTACGAGCTTGTACACATCCTTCTAGAGCTACTTGGTTAGCTACGGCACCTAGTGCATTCCCCCCAGCCCCAAAGTTCCTCCGCCGAATTGGAGTACAGAATCATCTCCATCTCGGTTAGAGCAGGCATATCCCAAATGTGAATACCACCGGAAGCCACTAACAGAACACCTGGTAAAGAAAGAGACCCAATCTTGAGTGAAATAAATACCGTTCGATCTTTTTCAAGAGAATCATCACGTAGTATAAATCAACAAAGCCTAAAGAAAGTGATGTCTCTTTCCCCTTGAAGTTTACCTACTACGGTACCAGCGGGAATATGGTTTCCACCAGACAGACGTAACCCTTTAACTAGTACACGGAAGGGAAGCGCATACCATGATTCTTCTGTCAATGAATAACGACATGCATTGCACGGTGAATGTGAAGAAGTAGACCATTATCTCGGCAATAATGAGCCAAGCTAGTATTTGCAATGAATCCACCTGTGGAGTAGTCGTGCATTACGATAGGAACTCCCAATTCTCGAGCAAAGATAGCCAGCCCTTTTCATCATTTCTTCGCGCAGTAGCATGAAAGTAATGTCCCTTGATTTCACCTGTTTTGTTTATGAACTTCTCTCCTGAACCTGATTTCACTCTGTAATAGGTGTTTATTTGTTTACGAACTTCTCTCTTTCACCTTCTTTCTTTAACTGTAAACAGGGAATCTTAATTATTTTCTTATCCCCTTTCTTTTCTTTCTCTTTTTCTTCCTTATTAAATCAGATGAGAGTAGTAAGCTAAGAGTTGATAACAAGGAAATCTCATTATGAAAAGAAGAATCTTGAATCATCCAAGGAAAGATTCCTTATTCATTGAAAGCATATTCATTTACTTACCTTCAACCACTAATAAACTAAGAAAATTCAAGGATGGATGTTCGAGCGTCTGTCTTCACCCCTCTTCTCCCTTTTCTCGTTGAGCGTCTTCGCCCCTCTACGATGAATGCCCCTTTCCCTATGTATTCTTATTCTTTGACTGATTTCCCTCGGTAATAGGTCTTTGATTTCACTCTTTTCCCGGCTTACGATATTCCCTTCCCTGATTTTCCGTATACTCTTTCTCCCTTATTAGTGTTGAAAGTCAAGACGGACGAAGGATTCCTTCTGATATGAACCAAGAGACATCATTCATACAATATACTTCAATGAAGATGTGAAGAAAATGTTGTCAAAATTATCAAAATAGGTTGCAATTCATGTCACATTGAAGAGGAATGAAGTTTGATGGTTATAAATTTTGGGTGGGTTACAATTTAAAGTAATTTAGAGTTATTGTATTTTAAGACATTTTATTTACTTTAGGTTACATTTACCTAATGGCTAATTATGGTCATTAAGTATGAATGTTACAACTTTTGGAATGCCTTTAATAGTTTCATTTTGAGGCTATATAAAGCCATGTATGTTGTATTTGTAAGGTAGACTTGGAAAATATAGTAAAAGGAGCATTTGTGCTTTTCTTTAGCCAATGGCTAAGTTTCTTTGCAACTCTATGTAGTTTAGGTTGCATGTAGAATCATTCAAGCTCGACATGATCAATCTTGCTTGTGGAGTGATTCGAATCTCAATCAAGTGTTCTTGCGTTGAGATATTTGATCAACAAGAATCATTGAAGCTAGACATGATCGATCTTTGCTTCTGGAGTGATTCGAATCTCAAACAATGTTCTTGCCTTGAGATATTCGATCAACAAGGTAATCCAAATCTTATTCTCCTTGTATTGATTCCTTATCATATCACCTTCTCTTGTTCCTATTCTCTCGTTCACCTTCTTCTTCTTTCATTTGGTAATTAACGGGAAAGACTGAACCGAAATCTTATTCTTGAACTCCTTTTTAGTGTTTACAGTGAGGGATATTAATTAGCTGGCTGCTTTGAAAGACAAAAATCAGACAAGATGCATTCTCCGGGGAACCCATATTACCTGACCCTGAACCTGATATTGAACTTCTCTTTCCGCTTATGAATCAAGTGTTGAAAGGAAGGACTCAACCAACTCAAGCAAGTTCCCTTCAAAGACTCTTTCCCTCGATAATAGGTGTGTTTGTTCTTTCTCCTGAATCTTGGCTGCTTTTTTCTTGCTTTCACTACTAGAAGGTCAAGCTACTGAACCTCTGCCTTATTAACCAAGTTCAGACGAAAGAAGACCGTAAACAACTGGGAATCTTAGCTCTGATCTTTCTGCTTATGAATCATCAAGTGTTGAAAGGAAAGACGAAAGATGAATGAGAGTGCACTCCTGAACCGTAACCTTTATTACCTGATGTTATTGCATTAAGTAAGGAAGTCAAGCCTAAAGAATGAGAGAGAGTTGTAGAGGAGGATGTAAACAGGAGGATATGAAGGTCAAGCTCCGGAACCTATTTCATTTCTTCTTGATCCTGACCCTATTTCTTCTTGAACGAGGTAAAGTGGCAGGAGGATGATTCGCTCTTTGAGTCTATTCCCTGAATTCTGTTCTTGTTCTTCTTTCCCTTTAAACACTCACAATAAACAGATGGTAAGCGGATTCACTTCTGGCTGGGATGATCCTTGTTTGGCTGTGCCACTCCCCGAGTATTCTTCAATCTATCTTTTCCTCCTCACCTTGTAATAAAGATTAATTCTTTAACGGATCTTTACTCCTCCCTCTCCCTTCCCTACTACTTAACTAATGACCCTGCCTCTGCTGAACCACCTCTTCTCGTGTCTTCGCCTCTTTGCCCTCCGAGTCTCACAATTGAATTGCCTCTCCTTTGTTTCACTCTTTGGCTGAGCTCCTTTCCTTTGCCTCTATTGCCTGAACTACTGAACCTACTTATTAAGTATCCTTCACTCCTTCGCCTATGGATTCTTTAAGGAGGTCAAGCAGCTAATGAATTTACTCCTCTCCTGTAAACAAATGAAAGGATGTTTGCTTCGCACCTTACTTATGAATTATACTTACTAAACTACTGACCTTATCTATTGATGGATTCTTTCTCCGTAACCGTCACCTCTGCCTCTATTAGCATCAGTTCTTGTTCTTTCCCTTCAAGACCAGTAAGGGAAACTCCTTCACTCCTCTCCCTCTTTCTTGGTCTCACTACTTTCGCTCCTTTTCCGATTGATTCCTGAACCTATTTATGAACTGTAAAAACTTTACTCCTTATTCATGAGAGAGAGTTAGTTTACGAACCTCACTCCGGCCCCTATTTCTTCTTTTCCTAGGTAAGCTGGATGAGAAGAGGGTCAAGCCCATTCACCGAAACCTGACAAGAATGTATGTAAGAAAGAAGAATTCTCCTGCCTGAACCTGCTGCCTATGTTATTCACTCGGTCAAGCTAGCACTAAGAAAAAGGAAAGACTTAGAAGGATGAATGAGAGTTCAGTTGACTCCTCTCCCTATTTTGAGGGTTATGCCATTTTCCCGGTATTTGAGGTCATTTCACTCCTTTTCCTCTCTCTATTCTATTGTATTAGCATCCGTTCTTGTTCTTTTCCTTCTTTCACAGTAAGCACTGGCTGGGAATCTGAGCTCTGTCTCTGTATGATCTTTCTCCTTATGAATCAAGTGGTTGAAAGGAAAGACTGACCTCAAGAATTAATGAGACTTAACTACTGAACCTGAACCTCTGCCTTCTTTGACTCCCTTTCCTCTATTACAAGCCAAGACTCCTTATGCATTCTCCGATTCCTTCTTGACAGTAAAGGAAACTCCTGAACCTATTCATTGTCGGTCTTACAATTCCATTGCTGATCCTCTCCTTTACAGTCGAGCCGCTGAAAGAAAATCTTTTTTATCCTATATAGGGGTAAAACATTAAAAAAGCTTTTTCCCTAACAGCTGAAGCTTCAAGAAAATAAATTCTATCCAGCATAGGGGTAAAACATTAAAAGACTTTTTCCCTAATAGCAGCAGCAAGAAGAAAAGAAATTTTATCTCCATATAACTGTAAAACATTAAAAGCGGTTTTCCCCTAATAGCTGGAGCTTCAAGAAAAGAAATTCTATCCCCCCCCACTAATTCATTATTAAGGAAAGATGAAACAAGTAGCCAGCCGGCCGTTCTCTGATCTTCTCCTTCACCTTCCCCTTCAAGTGTTTCAAGGAAAGACGAAAGAGAAAACCTGAACCTTTATTCCCTTCTCTTATTTCAGGAGGTAAACTCGGTCTCACAGCTTTTGTTTGCTCCTTATGAATGAGACTCAACCAACCACCTATTTTAATGAGTCAACAAACCTATCTATATCTAATTCTATTGATCTCACTCCTGAACCTCTATTCCCGTCATCTCTTGTTCATTTACAGTCAGTCGGTAAAAGCAAAAGAGAAAGGAAAGAAAGATCAGCGACTAAACCTATAGGTCTGTCTCATTGCTCTGCCCATTCATTCACCTATTTATTCTGGAACTGTAAACAAGATTAAGCTAGAAGAAGAACCTGAGCCATTACCTATTTATTCAAAAGGTAAAGAACCGTCTTCATGTACTTACTCATTCACTTCTCCCTATTTTTTCTTTCATCTTCCGGACTGCTATCTTTTATCCTTGAACTTATACAGGAGGAGGTGTTTGTTTGTTTGGTTCTTGATCCTGTCCCTGATTGAACGAAGAGTAAACAAAGACGAAGGCTTATGAATGAGACTGAACCGAAAGGGCTGAGGAAGACTCAAGATTCATTCTAGTTTACGACCTGATGAACAACCTATTTCCCTGATTGAACGAGGTAAGGCAGCTAATCTAATTCATGGACTCGCCCTGAACCTATACCTATTGATTCATTCTTGAACAGTAAACTCATTCACCTTCTTTCACTCAAACACAAGGTAAGGTAAGTAAATGGGCTGGATGAAAGGTCAAGCATATTCTTTATAGGTCTCATTGCTTCGCTTCGCTCCTGAACCCATTTATTCAAAGACTCGGTAAATAGAATAGAAAGAAAGATGATCGATTCTTTACAGTGAAAGAATAGGGAGAACCAAACTTAAGATCTCCTTCCGCGATATGCCTTCCCTGAACTTGACAGTCGAGCTACTTACTCCTATTTCTTCTTGATCCCTTTACAGGAAAGAAAAGAGATGAAACAAAACTCTGGAACTTGAGAAAAGATAGAGATGAATGGAACTGAACCCCGGAACCTCTCCAACTCGTCTTCCCTCCTCTCTCTCTATCTTAGCCTTTGCTAGCTTTCTTTTATTCCCTTCTTTCACAGTAACCGAGGTAAGTAAATAGGTGTTAGCATCTTCTGGTATCCTTACTGCTTTCTTATACAGGAAGAGGTGTGTGTTTGTTTCTTTCTTTCTCCTTCACCTGATTGAACTCGATAAACTCATTGATAAGATAAGGAATCAACTACAAGGGGAATAAGATTCGGATTACCTTGTTGATCGAATATCTCAAGGCAAGAACATTGTTTGAGATTCGAACCACTCCACAAGCAAGATCGATCATGTCTAGCTTGAATGATTCTTGTTGATCAAATATCTCAACGCAAGAACACTTGTTTGAGATTCGAATCACTCCACAAGCAAGATTGATCATGTCGAGCTTGAATGATTCTACATGCAATCTAAACTACATAGAATTGCAAAGAAAATTAGCCATTGGCTAAAGAAAAGCACAAATGCTTCTTTTACTATATTTTCCCAGTCTCCCTTACAAATACAACATACATGGCTTTATATAGCCTAAAAAATGAAACTACTAAAGGTATTCCAAAAGTTGTAACATTCCTACTTTATGGCCATAATTAGCCATTATGTAAATGTAACCGAAATTAAATAACAAGTCTTAAAATACAATAACTCTAAATTACTCTAAATTGTAACCCACCCAAAATTTACAACAATCAAACTTCATTCTTCTTCAATGTAGCATGAATTGAAACATCTTTTTGATAATTTTGACAACCTTTTCTTCACATCTTCATTGAAGTATATTGTATGATTGATGTCTCTTGGTTCATATCATTCTCCACTTCTTCAAGAGGATTCGTCCTCGAATCTATTTGTGTAACTTTGCTGCAAAAAATAAGTTATGGAAATACGACGGACCTCACAACACTCTTTTACACAAATGAAGCTTTCATTCTTACCTCTCAAATTTTTTAGTAGAGCCCAGATTGAATTTTTTTATTTTGGATCGATTAAAAACTAAAAAGATAAAAAAAAAAAAAAATTGAAAAGAAACGCAAAGGAAACATATATC